ATTTATGGTGTATTGATCGATTCTTTATTCCTTTAAAAACAAAGAAGTGTTTCATGAAAAGTCCAAAAACTTTAATCTTTTTATTTGTAGAAATTCACTACAGGCGACTGTCATTAGCTGAATCGCTGGGATGAGCATTCGACTGAAAGTTGATGGAGATATTCATTGGAGAGTTGTTGAACGATACATTGGTGAACAATCCACCTGGAACTCTTACTGCTAGATCATCAATGCCGTTATTCATTGATGTTGTGTTATTGCCAACTACTGATGGAAGTGCAAGGCTGTTGGCATAAATTTCTCGCAAAGCTTTAGTGCGTAGACCGTCGCTGGGCCGTGTTCACAGGATTTTCTCGCTTTCGGGCAGTGTAGTGAGCGAAAGAGGTTTTACATGCCTCTCCAAGAATTTGAAGTTCAGTTCAAAACAAGGAAGAACCTCCGGCTCACTTTGAAAACGCTTTAATTGTTTTTGCTCTTTTGAAGGTGACAATGGTTTTGAAAACATTTTAAACCAAACTTTGTAACAATTTGACGATAGTTGTTGTGCTTAGTGACGTAGATACGAAACAATTTCATTTAGCCTCGTTTTCAACTCGAAATTCCACGTTAAATACCTGGCTCCGTTAACCAATCAGACTGCGAGATTTTATTCAATGATGCGATTCTAAGATAAATTTGTTCCGAACCAATAAAATATAAATAATTCCGGTTGGCCAAATATCATCATAGGGGTTCCCGAATTATGCTTTCATACACTGTATGAGGGGGTTCCCTTTGCATTTTATGAATAATGAATCAAGAAGGTCACTGAAGTGATAAAGTAGGGGGTTAAGATAGCCTGTCGGCCTTTGTGGTGGAGCAGTGGGTCTTTTCTAAACACAATCCATCCCTTCGTGAAGGACGATTTATGACTATCATGATACCATAACTTTTCCAGAACCATCTCTTTCTTGCCATCCTAGACCTTGGTGGATGTACCACCTATTGGTGGATATACCACCTATTCAAAGACTAGGGTATCCATTACCGATGACAAAAATTTCAATTGGAGCCATGTCATTAAAAATTACAAAATTCGAGTTGTGCATGATCCCTTGTAATTTAACACACCAATACCTGTTCCTCCTGCACCACGAGGGGTGGCCTGTTGAACACCTCTGCTTCTCGATGAAAAAGCTCCAGCTAAAGTTCCAAACGTTTTGAAAAGTTCATCCTGGCCCATCTCTAGTTTGGATAACATTTCATGTATGACTTGATCATTGTTCTTAATGAATTCAAAGTCGGTAGAACCAATTGATCTTTCATTTGAACCTTCAAACTCCAGATATACCTTCACTTTGCCGGCCAAGCAAGAATCTGACAAAAATGACATGCGACCTAGTCTTAGTAGATTTAATATCATGAGTAGATTAATTATCAATAAGAATAAAAATATACTACAGTTTGTGATATTTCGCCGTTCAACTATTGTTTCGTAATGTTGATTGTTAAAGTTAGGGGTCAGAAACTTCTTTCTCCTCTATTCTACAGATATAAAGGCCTGCACTGCTTAGCATTTACAGCCGGTACCGCAGAACTTCAGTTTGGGATCGAGTGATCGGGATTGGTACTGCATTTCAATTATCCTATTAACAATTAATAAGGAATCATGTTTTTGTCCATTCTCGCCCAATCAACATACTTTCCGTAAATCAAATTATTTTCACAAAAACGTTAAGTTTGGGAACTTAGCTAAATGTATTACGTTTACATAAATGTTATCATGTCCGTATCAATATGCGATTGAAGACAGGGACGTATCAATCAGCTATGTTGTCACATTTTGACGTTTATGCAGCGACGGTATCATTTAAAGTTCGAGTTATTAGGGGAATATGAGCACAAGGAAGTAACATTAGAGTTAAAGTGAAGTTTGAGTTAAACGAGTTCAAGTTGGTTGATTGTAAATGAATGGCAAGAAGGGGTCAAATCCAGAGGAAATCAGTCATATGTTGTTCAACTTAGCAGGGAGTCCAAGTTAACTGGGTTCGAGCTAGCGGGGTTTTACCTATTTTACATTCATCATAAATGTAGTAGCACTTCACTCCATAACGCTACATGTCAATCAACAAATAGTATTTACTTACTGATACTTCCAGTCAGGGTTTTTTCATCTCTTTTTTGTAAAGGTACAGTACCAATGCCTTCGAATTTGGCCTGGAGGTTCGATGTCTCGTATTTTCTATGCAATTTTTCGGCCAAAATGATGCAGAAGCGTATATTTTTCTGTCAGTATTCAAAAGAAAGCAATCCTTGAACATTCATGTCCAATACACAAACAGATTCCGTTGCCCATGATAGGGCACAGTTCTATTCGTAACACCTAATGACCGGAAGTAGGTTTACCGGAGGTCAAGACACGAAAGAGGACAGGAGGCCTGTGAACTGGTGGCTATCAAACATGCCGCTTATTCGTGGTTCGGTTAACATCCACCACTATTAACCTAAGCTTTAAATATGATTAATTGCCGATTATTGCCTTAACTCGACCATAAAGTTCACACCAGGTTGAATAGCACAACATATACAAGAAAACCGGCAACAAATAAGTCTACATTTTAACCAAATTAAATATGCTATTGTAGGCAAAACTCTAAGCTCAAAGCGAGTCAAGTAGTAGATTTTCCTTAAATCGCATGATTGAATAAAAATAAGAAAAAAAAGAAATAAGAAAACAGCATTACGTGGAATTGTTATGCAATCCAAGATGTGAAACAATATCACTTATCCTCGTTTTCAACTCACAATTCCACGCTAAACACTTCGCTTCATTAACCAATCAGAATGCGAGATTTTGTTCAATGGTGCGATTCTAACCAGAATACCTGAGGTATTTAAGGTGGCTCGTTCCAGTTTTCATCTTTTTGATAGTTTGTAACTTTGAAAGAATACAACAGAAAGACTGACCAAGGGCAGTTGAAAACTTTTACGGGGTTGAATTACATAATCATTGGTTATCCAAAAATAAGTGTCATTTCGTCACTAGAAGTTTCCATGGTAACGCTTTCATAGGCTCATTCAGACGCATTTTTTAGCTTGTGGCTTAAATAACTCGAAAACTAACCCGGTGACCCTCTGATTTTTTTCAGTGATTGCTTTTGGCACTTAAAAAGGAAAAGGGAAAATGCCCAAAGATTTTTAAAAAATTATACGGAGCGGAATTTCAGAAAATCTACAAAAAGGGCAATTTTTACACATCACAAATTTCCTTCCGTAGAATTTTCTAGTTTTTTTTCTGATGATTCCTTTCGACGTTATTATCATATTGGAACAATAAAAAGAAGGGGTCACCGGACTTGTTTTCATGCAATAGCTTTCGTGAGTTTAGCAATTTCCACGCGCGTTCTCGCGCATTTAAAAATCTGGATTCTATAAGATCGACATTTGCTCATGATCTGTTTTAGCTACCGCTGACAATTGCGTGTGCTCGCGCGAGCACCTACGATCTGATGTTTACAGACGTTTACTGCTAAGAAAATCATTAAACAGCCGTCAAAGACAGCCTCCCGAGCTCATCTTAAAAATCCTACACATGACTTCTGGCTATATCATATTATTTTCCTTGAAGTTTCAAAGTCTTCTTCCACTTCAGGTAGATTATCCTTCACTTGAGTTCTTCTTTTTTCGCCGTCGCAAGATTTCATATCGGTTGAATATTTCTTTTAAATGTGAAGTGAAGCAACCTTTACTTCTCCGAAAATCGTCTTCGTTATCTTAGTTTCTATCTCCTGCATTCACAGTGGCCGCTCAACACATCAAATACAAGCTCTTAGGTAAACTTCTCACAAAAGTAGAAAAAATTCCACGCGCCGCCATCTTTGTTTTGAATTTTCATCTTTTGATCTCGCGCTTCTTTCGCACGTTTCTCTCGCGCGCGTCACGCAAGAGTGACCTGTTCCCCGCGCGAGAAAACTGGTACGAGCCACCTTAATGCACATTGAATGTAAACAGATACGAACGTTAAACATCTGTTTGAATAAACCCTATCCGCTTTTACACTCTGTATACTCGACGGAATGGAAAACCCACTCCACTGTGTGACAACATGGCAAAAAAGAGATTTTAAACCTACCAAGTAATGTACCCAACTGGCAGAGTACAACGCACATGATGTAAGAAGACGATTTCACGAGGTAGCTTTTGCGCTCAAACCGATGAGAAGTCGAAATTCAGAGGCGAGACCCTGAACAAACATCGCACAAATCTCGAGAAAACCAATGACAAATCCGAAGAAACCCAATAAGAATCGTCAAACGATCGCCAGAGTTGGAACAGGACTAAATTACATGAGTCGCCACAAGTCATGAGAGAGGTTACGCGGCTCTCATGAAAGTCTTCAATTTTGAAAACCACGAGGAGCTTGGGGGAAGACTTAGTAACTTTTACAGCATCATAGCATAGTACTTACAACTTCCTAAAAGAAAGGCAGTAGTAAAAAATTATTGTGCTTACCTCTGTGGGTCCTTGTGTCGGAATGATTTCATCGACCACTACAACAATTAAAATAGAAAAGTAAATCTCCACAACAATTTGCTTACCATCTGCATAGTTAGTTGTAGTAATGAATAAAGTAAAAACTGGCATCATGTCTAGATCTCTTCGTTTCGACTTTCACAGAAAAAAGACAGTCAGAAATTTTACTTAAGAAAAACATGCAGTCAGATCTACAAACACGTTTTGTAAATTTCAAAACTTTACACTCGGTAGCCTGTTCTGTCTTAGATGCTAGAGGCATGGGACCAATTATTACAGCAGAACCCATTAGATTAAAGTGAGTGGGGTTTCGTTTTAATGAAAATATCAACAAACATGGCCAAGTGCCGTATGAGAAACTACCTAACAACCTTGGGTAACTCTTGATCGGGCCGTACATAGGAATATTGCCAGTACAGCCTTCGCTATTAGATGGAGAAAATTATAGCATATACACTTTTATAACCCATACATTAAATTTTCGCGCGATTCTAAATCAATATTTGTTCTCCGATTATTTTCGTCGACAAGAAACAAAGCCAGCGTAAAAAAAACCGAACTCAAGAGTTTCACAACATTTTTTAGCTTATTACTTTCTATGAAAGAAAAACAGTTGGCCTAGTACAGTCCAGTAATAGTGAATACTATCAGCCAACCACATAACAGCCGCCTGAAGAAGTTAATTTACTAAATAAACAAAGTAGTATTACCCCCCCCCCCCGTACCTTAAAAGCACAAACTGTCGAGAAACCTAACTTTTTTTAGTATTATGGAACAGCCACTTCAGTATTCAAATAATTTTCTTTAGGGAGACTGAAGTGAGAGGGGAAGATGGCATTTAATCTTTCTATTCAATTACTCATAACTACTAACAATTATACAGCTCCAACTAAGATCATATTTTTTTCTATTGTTAAGGGGATCGAATTATTTTTACTGAATCTGTCACGCAATCCCAGACTTTTCTAGAATTATCTATAATCTGTAATATTCCAGAAACTTCTTTCATGTGACTCAGCAGTTTCCAAAAATAGTACAACTTGTAATACGCTATAAATGGTAATAGAACATTCTAGATAACTAAAGTAAATGTATAAAAGCTGGCTTGTGAGAAGTACAAAAGAGATTTGCCCGAGGGCTTACCCTCGTGGCTTGCTGACTGAACTTTTATGATATGACGAGGCTATGACCTTTTGACCTTGCGAT